GGGAAGGAGGGAGGGAGGGAAGGAGGGAGGGAGGGAGGGAGTTTGGTTTGGCGGAGGAGGTTTTGCGCAGGGGAGGCCGATCTCGGTCTGCGGGACTCGGAATAGGCACAGGGAAGGGATCGCGGTCCCTCAGGTCTACAGACGGCGGAATGAAAAGGCTTCTCTTCAAGCCCCGGGGGAGGCTGAGACCCCCCCGGAAAATTTTGGAGGTAGCTCCCGCCCCTCCGCCCCCCTGAACTCTACGCCTATGTTTGGGACCTCTTGCTTTAGAATGTCAGCCTGGAAGATATGCTCAGCTATTAAAAAGATTTTTTTGGTCTGAAGAATTTGGTCTGAAGAAAAGCCATGGGCTTTTTCCTGCATTCAGCTTGGTGAACACACATTATAGAAAAGCAGGTAGATTTTAAGACCTTCATGACAGGAACCACAAAGGAACCCACTTAGTTTCTTATTATAATATTCTGTATAGATCAACCTACATTTATGGTGCCAGAGAAACAGGATTCTACCAGTCGGCCACACTATTTATGGGTCATTCCCCACCTACCAAGGATTCTGTCGCTGGTTTTGGGATTGAATTCCCAGGTATGCGAGTGCACAGCACACCCAGATTGGGGCCTCTGCACCCAGGGAGAGGGGGGCTTATGCCCGCATGGTCAAAGCAATGATATTCCCAGTAGTCATGTATGGCTGCGAGAGTTGGACTATAAGGAAGGCCGAGCGCCAAAGAATAGATTCTTTTGAACTATGGTGCTGGAGAAGACTCTTGAGAGTCCCTCGGACTGCAAGAAAATCAAATCAGTCAATCCTCAAAGAAATCAACCCTGACTGTTCCCTGGAAGGCCAGATAATGGAACTGAAGCTCAAATACTTTGGCCACCCAATGAGACGGGAGCACTCACTGGAGAAGACCCTGATGCTGGGAAAGATTGAAGGTCGAAGAAGACAGGGACGGCAAAGGATGAGATGGTTAGACAGTGTCATCGATGCAACGAACATGAAATTGAGCAAACTTCAGAGGACGGCGGAAGACCGGAAGGCCTGGCGTGATCTGGTCCATGGGGTCGCGAAGAGTCGGACTCGACTGTGCGACTGAACAACAAAACCAGTTACTCGTCAGTTTACCTACCAGCAAACCGCCTTCACTCGACACTTTGCCCGAAGAAAGGCGATGCCGAAGTTTTAAGACAAACCAAGCAGTTTACGGCGACTGCTGTAAACGAATCGTGTTCTCACCGACCGCCCACCCAGACCCCGTCGATACTGCACGCCAGCCCGGGACGAGGCTAAAGAAATCTCACCAGACTTGTTGCTGCAGCCCTTCCCGAAGTCTTTGGCCATCACTCATCCCGAACCAGGTCACCAAGCCGGGTCAGCCCTCCCATTTACACACTCTCTCTCTCCCCTCAAAACAACGCAACACACACACCGTCCGCCAGCCCGCTCTCACCCTCCCGCCGGCACTCACGATGCATTCCCGGACCCTCTCGTGAAAGAGCTGCTCCCGCACCGACAACACATCGTACTCCTCCCCCGAGTCCATTCTCTGGTCAGCATGGCTGAAGGTGAAAAGGGTGGGCAGCGGCGCCTGGGGAAGCAGCGACAGAAGATCCCCGAGCCCCAATGCGGGAGCCACACTGGAAGGGAGCGGCGGGCCGTTTCCCTCTCCGTTCTGAGCGCAACTTTTGAACCGCTTCAGCGTTCCAGCCCCGTCACAAACAGGCATCCGCCGCCGGAACAGCGCCGCGTTCCATTCGCAAGGAGACGCCCGCGCACCAGCCGACTACGACCCCCTTCTCTCTTCGCCAGCGGCCAGCAAAGGAAAGGGAAGCGCGTACACCTTCGCAGTCCTTCCAGAGAAAGCGCCGATTGGCTGGCCAAGGGCGAAGTGATTCTCTTCTCATTGGCTCGCTCGGGAGACCAGCCCCTCAATCTGATTGGCTGAGTGCAGCGTTCTTTATTTCTTGAACGGCCTCCGCGCTGCCTGCATTCAAGTAGGGACCTGGGCGCGTTTTTTCTTCCCTGGGATTCAAGTGCTTTGTTGCGGCCGGCTTCTCATTTAAAACAAATGAGGGGAAAGGTTTAATTGGCTACTCAGACTGCGGCTACTGTCTCCTTTATCAACGGCAGAGCTAAACCGCCTAAATGTCCTTTAGAATAGCGTTGCCAGCCTCCAGGTGGTGGCTGGAGATCTCCCGCTTTTACAGTTGCCGTCCACGCAACAGAGATCAGTTCATCTGGAGAAAATGGCCACTTTGGAAAGTGGGCTTTATATGGTGTTATACCCCATTGAAGTCTCGCACTTCCCCAAACCCCGCCCTCCAAAATCTTCGGGTATTTTCCAACCTGGAGCTGACAACCCTCCTTTACAGCCTTGGTCAGGTCTTGCAAACTGAGGGCCCTGGCCTCCTTTATGGAGCCAAAACATCAACATGTTGCGGTTTCCTCTTTTTCTTCTGCTTTCAACTTTTCCTAGCAGTATTGTCTGTTCCAGTGAGTGAGTTTTGTCTTCTCACTGTATGACCAAAATATGATGAGCTCAGTTTAGTCATTTAGAAATCGATAGCTTCTGGGGAGAATTCAAGCTTGATTTGATCAAGAACCCACTTATTTGTTGGAAGTTTTTTGGTGGTCAGTAAAACTCTCCTCCAGCACTACAGTTCAGATTAATCAACTTTCTTCCTGCCAGCTTTGTTCACTGTACAGTTTTCACATCCATGCATGGTAATGGGGAATACCATCGTGTTAATACTTTTAAAAATTAATATTTTCAATTTGCACAAAAATATAACAGTAACCATTCAACAAAACTTAAACAACATATAAACTTGGTGAACAGTACATATCAGAATACAAGCTCAAACAAAAAGAATTTGAACATACTGAGACTTAAATCTCTTATGCCATTCACAAGGAATCCATGATTTATAAATATATATAAATATTATAAATATAAATATACAAATATATATGATCTGTACAGAATACCATATCTGACACAAGATTAACTAAATTTTATTATGAAAGAAGTAAGTCTATTGGAGTTAATTTTGCAAGAAGAATCTCATACTATAAAGTACTGGGTTCGAGACACATTGTAGTGAAATCAGCTCATAAGTTTATTTGAAGTACGAACTCAAGGTGGTCAGTCCGAGGACTGACTTAAATCACCCAACAAACCACACCCCACTCCCAGTGATAGAGCTATACTGATACACCCAATCCATTCGGAGCTTTCCTCAATCCGAGCCGTCTGATATGTTCCTTCTAGGATCTGTGCTCAGCATTGTTTCCTGATGCGAAGCTTCCCCTATTCGCATGGCCACGTGTAAAAGCTCCGACCACGTTCGCGGTCTATGTTAATATACAACACATATTTTGAAATAACCTCCAAAATTGGAAACCATCTCATTGCAAAATAGGACTGATAATCTTTGCATTCTGATTGCACTATCTGGTCTGTTAATTGTTCCATGAGATAGCAGTCCCATGATTTGGCAAACCAGAGCTTAATTGTGGGACCGTTTTCCTCTTTCCACTCTGACGCTATTGCTAATTTAGCTGCAATTAGCATTGTATTCATCAGGTCTTTGGCAGAACATAAAGTAGAGGGATCGACCCAGAGATGAAGCAGAACATATTCAGGTCATAGCATTACGGTGTGCCCAGTAATCAGCTGTATATAGAATATGACCTGTTGCCAAAAGTTAGAAATAACCACACAGCTCCACCAGCAATATATGTTGGAGCCAGTTTCTCCACATTGCTTCCAACACTTACTAGATTTTCCAGCATTAATTTGATGCAACTTCGAAGGGGTGAGGTGATGTACCAACATGTGACCATTTTGAAAAAAGTCAGTCTAGCATTTGTAGCTTTTGAAGCGAAGATAGAAGAATTCCAGATTTTTGTGCAATGAGCCTTAGTAAGATCTAAGGAACATTCAGTTTGCCATTTAGTCTGATTTGTGAGTGGTACTAAAATATTGGCATTTAGTAAAATTCCATAAATTTTTGAAATAATATCCTTCTGCAATGTTGACACAACTTTAAGAAGTAGTTCAAATTCAGTATATGTTCTAGATGCCGATTCCCTGATTTTAGAGAGTTTTAGCATATGTTTAAATTGAAGGTACTGAAACCAATGTAATTTTGTACCTAATTTGGTCTCTAAGGCTACGGTCACATGAGCAGTGCACGCTGAAATAGCTGCATTACCTTTGCAGATTTAAAGAGCACAATCAGATCACAATATCTACCTTCTGTGCCCCAGTTGTTGGCACCCCGCTTTGCCTCGCTTTAGAAGTGGAGTAATCAGGTGCCGGGAAGGTCCGGTATTTAGGGATGCCAGTGCTTCCACTCTGCATTTCTAGTTGTCTGGACTCCCCTCTTGCGAAATCAAGCTGTTTGGGAAGTCTGAACCTTCTCTTCCATTTCCGCCTCCTTTTGTACAAGCACATAATCGCCCCTGGCATTGTCAATCACTGTGGCCAAGTAGTCATTCTGAATCAGGAGTCCCCGGGGGAGTTGTTTTCGAGGGACAAATTCCCCCCCACAGGGGTCATTTTGTAGAAAAAGAGCTAGGGGAACTCATTAGCATAACTCATTAGCATATGCCACACCCCCTGACATCAGGGGCCCGGCGGTGGACCTGCAAGGCCAGCGGGAGTGCGAGGAAGCCCTGCCAAGGCCCTCCCTGGCCCCAGGCAGGCAGGGGTGGGGAGAGGCGGGGAGGAAGCAACTTACCCTCCCTCTTCTCCTGCCTCCTCCTGGCTGAATTAGGGCTGGAAGCGGGGTGGCCGGAAGCAGGGGGCGGGGCTTCGTCATGTGCCCCACCCCCTGGACCTCACCCCGGGGGACTGCGTTCCCCCCCCTTCCCCCCCGAAATGACCTCTGCCCCCCCAAACCCTCTCTTCTGTTTTCTTTGTCAGAGTCTGAGAGCATCCCATGATTGACACAAGGGTAAATTCAAAAGTCAATGGGACTACTCTCATGTAAATCTGAACTTTACACCACCACCCCATGTATTCCATGGAAGAGAGACAAAGGGAAGGAGGCTGAGAGGGGCCCAACTACTTGGCAGAGAGATTGTGGAGCTGTCAGAAAGGAGCTGGAGCTTTGGATACACGCTTATGCGCACAGGTGAAAGACAAAAAAAATGCCACAACAATCTGAACGATGGACCATGGGGCAAGTACACAATGAAGCCAGTTCAGGGTGGGCTGTCTGATCAAAACCTCCTGCAACTATTTAAACCATCGCAAATAGAGGTGTGGCCAGATCGCACAAAGCCTCCAATATGACCGCAGCCTAATTGTGTGTTCTCTGAAAGACATCCTTTTTGTGTAAGATCCAGTATTCTTGTCAACTTAGTTTTTCTCCATGGTTTAGCATAATTAGGCTCTTCTCCAGGTTTAAACCAGTTTTGATATATAAATGAAGATAATGGTGATATTTCTGGAGCTAATTTCTTTCTTTCTGTGTCCCATATAGAAATAGAATTCAGGAGAAACGGATTGAATTTAATGTGTGTTGATCTAAATTTTGAAGTGGTCCATACAGCGTCTTGGAGAGGTTTGGGCTAAGTATACTCTGCTTCAATTTTAATCCAATCTGCCTCTTTTTTTCCACTCAATATCTGAGTTATATTTGCTAAGTTTGTCACTATGTAATATAGTTTTAAATCAGGCAAAGCCTGGTATCCTAAATTAAATGGCCTGTGTAAAATGCTTAGTTTAATTATGGGCTTTTTGTATGCCCATAAAAATTTGTGTAATTTTTTTTCAATGTTGCCATAAGTTTGTTAGGAATCATAATGGGTAGTGCCCTAAAGTAAAAAAGAAATTTGGGAAAGACGAAATAATTAGATTCAATCTATCTGTCTAAAATAACCTTAACTGATGCCAATGTTGTAAACTTGTTTTCATCTCTTGATGCAATTTAATGTGATTATGTTTCCAGAGATCCTTTAGATTTAATGGAATATTAACTTCCAAGTAACACCATGTTGAAGAAGTCCAATGGAATTTAAAATATTTTTAATAGTCATTATTGTGTTGGGAGACAAATTTAATGAATAAAGTTCTGTTTTTGTTTGATTAATTTTGAGTCCTGACACCTGGCTAAACACCAAGGGTAGTGTTTGGAGATGTATCAATGACTATTCCGGGTCTGTAAGATAAATGTTAAGTCATCTGCAGACATAATCAGTTTATATTCTGTGTCACCAATAGTTACTCCTTTTATTAGATTTGTGGAACAAATTGCTTATGCTAGAGGCTCAACAGCCAATGCGAAGAGAAGAGGAGACGGGGGCAACCCTATTGGGTGCCTCTCGTGAGCTTGAAGATATCAGATTTCAGTTCATTGGACTTGACATATGCTTTAAGTGCAGAGTAAAGAGTATGTACTGCTCAGAGAAATTCAGTACCAAAACCTATAGATGATGCTCTGGGTTGCCATCAATATGCCAATGACACCCAGCTCTATCTGTTAATGGATGGCCATCCATCTTCCGCCCCTGACATTCTGACCAAGGCTTTGGATGCTGTGGCTGGATGGTAAGCCAGTTGAAGTTAAATCCATTGAGGATGGAGGTCCTGTACCTGGGTCAGGGGGGAATGGGTGTGGGTATCAGACTCTTCATGCTAGAAGGGGCACCTTTGGTGCCGACCCAGAAAGTGAGGAGCTTGGGAGTAACACTGGGTGCCCCTCTTTCTATGGAGGCCGAGGCTACTGCAGTTGCCAGATCTGCATTTTTCCATCTTAGGCAGATTAGGCTGCTGAGACCCTATCTCTTCCCTCGG